CGAAAAAGATTCTGTACTTTAAAAATAAAATAGAAAAATAAAAATAAAAAAATGGAAACACACTGAAACTAGAGTTGAACAATGATAAAATTATAAATTTATATAAAGAACTTTATATAAGAAACGATACAATTTATATAAAAATCTTAAACTGCTCTTAATTTATAAATTATTATTTAAAAAATAAAAAATAAAGGAAACACGTGCTGAAGAAATTATGATGTACGAGTAAAAAAAATGAATGCAGAACAGCTAATCTGAGAAATTTTTAATGATGGAACGTCTCTAAACGCTCATTATTTTCATTAAAAAAGAAAGAAAGTATTCATTTATTCTGAAACAATTAAAATTAATGAGCAATTCTTCGTCTTGATTACACACTTTTGTAACAATTAGATTAAATGGCCTACTCTAGATTACTTTATTATTTCGTATATACACATATACTATTTAAACATTACAATTATAATTAATGCCCAGTTATGCTTCAATACACAGATGTGTATTGAAGCAGATCTAGTCGTAGATTATTACATTATACGTAAAAACAGAAAATTAACTGACACTAAGAATTTTTTCCATTCTGTGGGTACTAAGAGAATCATACTCCTTATGGGTTCGCCAGGCGAACCCATAAGGAATACGGTTAAAGGGCATTGCAACGAGGGAAGCCGATGGAGATAAATAGAACGCAACATATCCGGAACAGACCATTTTTGGTAATCCACCAGTGATAGAGTGGATAAAACCACAGTACGTTCAGTGGCGTAGCCTAGTGGGAGCGGCGGGGGCGGCACTTTTAGGGGGCGGAAAAATTTCTCAATAAATAATAATAATATCTTGTAAAAATTTGAACCATTTCATTTCATATTTTTGTCAATAAATCGTAGGTTCGGACCGATTGAAATGAGCATGGAATTTTTCATTACTTATTCTGTGACGAAACTGAATTTTAGTCTTTTAAATTGAGATACCTAAATAAGGGCTAAATTCTCCGCCCCGGGCGGATGACACCCACGCTACGCCACTGAGTACGCTAGTTGGTAGCGGTTCGTACTCCCAATCCTGATGATATGGCTAAAGCATTGCAAAAAAATAAAAAGAAACCCGAACTTTTTTCAACAATTGTTGAAAGACCAGGACAAACAAGCGTAAAACAAAGAGAAAATAAATGAACCGCATTTCGTGATTGATTATCAATTTTCCAATAAAACGGCGTTTAGTGAATTTCCAGGTTAACTCGCTTTAGAAGAGTTTTGTGTTCAGATTTCAGACATGTTTAATAAACATTACACATTTAAAACGTGAAAATAGAATAAAATATCTAACATCTAAACATTACAATAAGTTTTCCTTCTAATAAGGTATCAAATTCAAAGTTACATTTAAAAATATTGTGGAAGAATGTAATAATGCCATTGCACAATATTTTATTTGAAATTATCATCAGAAATAATTGTTAAATTAATATGTCACCAGAAACTATTAGATTAAATGAATGAATTAAGACAACGCAACACATCGGCAATCTATCCTGAAAAGACTTTCTACGGGAAACTGGTCCCTATTTAGATGTTAGATACGTGAAGAAAACATTGAAAACTCCGCGTGGCCGACCCATTCATTGACAGGAGCAAACCCGCAACTAAATACCACTCGGCCACAGGTGAACACCAGGGCCGTTGAAAGAGGGAAGCCGAGAATTTCTTTAGGCCCGAGAAGAGTTTGGGGCCCGTAGAAGTTCCTACCACCTCTAAATTGTTACTATTTTTACGAAAAAAAGTTAAATTCTTATGACTGCTTTTTGTTACTAAGAACGCATTCTATATATTCCATTTGTTCAAACGAAAATGGTCAAAAGAACCCAATACAAGCTCTCGATAGTCATAATGGACCCCGAATAAAACCTAACGTTAACCTAAATATATAATTCTCGGGAGATATTTGAAATACGTTATTTTATATCGAAAATAATAAAAGGATCGATTTTGAGGTAATAAGAATTGTATATTAGAATCAAATGTGATCAATGGTTTAATGGATTTTGATTGATAACTTCGAATTATCTATTCACACGCATTAAAATTATACTTTCAAGTATATTTAATTTTACTGAATGAAAATATATCAATAGAAAAACTGTAAAATGAAAATAACAAATTCTAGTAATTTAGGAAAGATATCAGTTTTTATAAGTAAAAAAATGCCTTGTCTAAATGATATACATTCGTATAAAAACAAATCTAGTAAATTTCCAATTCGGAATTTTAATAATAAAATATCATTACAAAGAAACTTCAGGTTAACATCATCAATTTTTTCCTTAGGAATACGAAATGGAATTCAATGAATCAATTGAATAAGCTAATTTAGACAAACTGCTTTTAATCATTCCATTCTATAGAAATAGATGGAAATAATGTAAAATAAATTGACTATAAATATGAGGTGATCTAAAGTACATATTTTTCCCTAAGATAATCTAAATATAAAAGAGATTTTATGCAAACAAACATAATAGTAATCATATTACAATATTTTTTTTTTTTATTTTGTAACTTGAGCAATGACCTGTAATAAATTGAAACTACACGAGACCAGAACGATATCCAATAAAATAAGTAATGATTTTACAACAATAATCCAAAAAATATTCACTTGATTGTATGATCTAGTAAAATGCTTATTCAATGGAGGATAAACTTGAATTGTATTGTTTTCAGAATACAGCAATGATTCAAAATTAATTTCAAATTGATTAATTATTTTAATGTAAATAATTTAGAAAATAATTTTAAGAAAGAAATTTCTATTTTATTCTTGTAATGGGAGAGATTCATAAGGCGATTCCTGTAAGCTGCAGCTTGTATAGCTTATTTGGATTTGCACATAAGCTAGACAAGCTGCAGCTTTACGGCCTTCCCTTATGAGTCTAGCTTAGGCCTCACATTTTTACATGTATTATTACTTGGTAGAGAAGATGGGCTATGACGTGTTAAAGTTTAGAGCCTCAAGTCTAAGTAGAAGTCCAGCCTTAGTAATGGGTTTTTTTATTCGCAGCAGATATAAATATAACTATTAATTAATGTAAACTTATATAAACGAAAGTAAAATACAAACTGTACATTTGTCATGTTATTGATAATTATATACAGAAGCTTGCTATAATTGAGTAAGTATAATGAAATGTTATGAGTAAAATAATAAAAATTTTATCAAGAATCTTAATTTTAAATTTATAAGTAGCGTTTATTTTTTAATCCAAAACTTACTTATTCACTTTTTGTATTACATATATATAAATGAATTGACATTCTGCTGAAAAAACATATCTATGCAGAAAATAATTCATTTGTAAAATTAAAATTAAATAATCAATATATCTATTAAATATTACTGTCAAAATATCAATTAAATAGAACTGTAAAAATTAAGTTAAAAAGTTATTTAATACAAGCTATGCTTCAAACTGTATCTAGTAACTTGTATACTGAACTGTATGCTTGTAATTCTACAAGTATATATATATATCAGGTTTGAAAATAAAATCATGTTTTAAAAATTCATATGAAACCCTCAAGAATAAAAATAGCAATTTCTAAATATAATTTATACAGTTTATTTTATTTATATAGGCACAGATAAAATATATTTTTATATTAATATATTGTAAGTTTATTATTATTATTTTTTTTTTGTTTAATGCTCAAATAAAGAAATATTCTAAAATTCAAATTTTGATTGAAAAGCAAAAAATGTTCAATGACTTTAACTGAAAAAGCATTAGTATTTTATCTAGAATTTCAAAGAAGCATTTTAAAATTCTGAATAGAAAAATTTTAAAAATTCAAATTTTTGTATAAAGTAATAAACTAGAAATGAAGGGAATTTACTTATTTAAATTTATGTTTAAAAATAAAAGCATCATACATTGACTATGCTTAATAAAAGTATAAAATACAGTGATACATTTACAAGTTCCTGCATTATTATATAACTTTTTTTAAAGAAAAAATTTAATTTAAAAATTCTTTTAATAAAAATATTCTTTTTTTAAAATACCTGTTGGTTAATCTTTAAATTTTTTACTCATTTAACACTTTAATAAACAGAATGTTAATTTTATAATTGCATTAAAGAATTTTAAAAGGAAAATTCTTTGATACACTAATCAATTAAGTTTAATATTGTTTAAACATACAAAAGATTTAGAAAATTTTTAAACTTAATTTTACATTTTTAATTTTCTTCTTTTTTAAAATGAAAAAAATTATAATATTTTAAATAATTTAATCTAAGTTACAAGTTTATGACACGTTTTACTGTCATCGTTAAAGTTCCGTTCAATTTACTAATTAGTGCAGTATCACATCAGTTCTCTTGATTAAGAACCATCTAACAGCTGCGTGGATAAGACGTTTTTAATTTTATTAATATAAAATTTAAACGAAAATTTTGAAATTTTAATAGCGTTAAGTCATTCGAATTTAAATCATATAATTAATTTTTTAAATTTAGTTTTTGATTTAAAAAACAGGAGATTTTATTATTAAAAACTTATAAATCCCGGATAATTATTAATTAATTAATTCCAAAAAACCGCATCTTATTCACCGTTTCTCTATGTTGGAAGGTCAATAAACGTGATTAAAAATATCCCCTTAAGGAATTTTATGATAGATTAATAGAGTTTTATAAAGGACAGGAGCGTAGGATTGTTTTAAAGCTAGGAAAGAAGGGTAAAAACCTGAAGAAACGTCAAGAGAAAAGTCTATATAAATTGTTCATCCGACAAAAATCTGCCCCAAATTCTGACCTTAGTTAAAAAGCTGTGAACAGTAAAATCAATGCGGTTTGAATGCAGTTTTATATTATAAACGATTGGCGTATTGCGAATTTTTTGATTAAAAACAAACATTGTTTAACATTACACTAAATTAATTTATAATTTACATATACAAGTATATAATAAGAGTTTAAAAAGATAAAAATAAACATACGTTTTGTGATGCAGCTGGAACCTTCGATTGTAACTTCCCCGCACGACCATAATGTTCGCATGTGAAGCCGAACTCGAAGGAAAAACAGATCAAATTGGCGTTACTTAAACATTATTTATATAAATGCCACCCGGAAATAAAACTCTTCTCTTCCTGTATAACGTATAATAGTAGTGTGACGAAACACAACAGCGGTTATAAAGTGTAGCACCAAAGTGAATACGTTAAACAGATCGCTTTTATTAATCTCGCAAAATAAGCACTTTTGGGTTTGAGACTAAACAATATGGCAAATGCCTGTTCTGTGGTTGGTTGCGAGTATACAGATGTCAAATTATCCTCATTTTCACTTTAATCCTTAATTAATCGCAATTATATCATTTTTCCAGTCTGAAAGGTATTTTTTAAATTCATTTAAATTTTCTTTTATNAATCTAAGTTACAAGTTTATGACACGTTTTACTGTCATCGTTAAAGTTCCGTTCAATTTACTAATTAGTGCAGTATCACATCAGTTCTCTTGATTAAGAACCATCTAACAGCTGCGTGGATAAGACGTTTTTAATTTTATTAATATAAAATTTAAACGAAAATTTTGAAATTTTAATAGCGTTAAGTCATTCGAATTTAAATCATATAATTAATTTTTTAAATTTAGTTTTTGATTTAAAAAACAGGAGATTTTATTATTAAAAACTTATAAATCCCGGATAATTATTAATTAATTAATTCCAAAAAACCGCATCTTATTCACCGTTTCTCTATGTTGGAAGGTCAATAAACGTGATTAAAAATATCCCCTTAAGGAATTTTATGATAGATTAATAGAGTTTTATAAAGGACAGGAGCGTAGGAATGTTTTAAAGCTAGGAAAGAAGGGTAAAAACCTGAAGAAACGTCAAGAGAAAAGTCTATATAAATTGTTCATCCGACAAAAATCTGCCCCAAATTCTGACCTTAGTTAAAAAGCTGTGAACAGTAAAATCAATGCGGTTTGAATGCAGTTTTATATTATAAACGATTGGCGTATTGCGAATTTTTTGATTAAAAACAAACATTGTTTAACATTACACTAAATTAATTTATAATTTACATATACAAGTATATAATAAGAGTTTAAAAAGATAAAAATAAACATACGTTTTGTGATGCAGCTGGAACCTTCGATTGTAACTTCCCCGCACGACCATAATGTTCGCATGTGAAGCCGAACTCGAAGGAAAAACAGATCAAATTGGCGTTACTTAAACATTATTTATATAAATGCCACCCGGAAATAAAACTCTTCTCTTCCTGTATAACGTATAATAGTAGTGTGACGAAACACAACAGCGGTTATAAAGTGTAGCACCAAAGTGAATACGTTAAACAGATCGCTTTTATTAATCTCGCAAAATAAGCACTTTTGGGTTTGAGACTAAACAATATGGCAAATGCCTGTTCTGTGGTTGGTTGCGAGTATACAGATGTCAAATTATCCTCATTTTCACTTTAATCCTTAATTAATCGCAATTATATCATTTTTCCAGTCTGAAAGGTATTTTTTAAATTCATTTAAATTTTCTTTTATTTTACCTTTTAATTATGTAAAAATATATATATGATTTTATTAATATTTTTTAAAATATTTACATTCATTTACTTATTATCTTAAATAATAAAGTATTTGGGAGCTTTTTATATAATTTATTTATAAAACTCAACAGAAACATCACATTATAATCTCATGTATCTATTCAAGTTCATTATGTAACAGCTTCAATCGTTATTTTTGGTTTTTAAGCTCATATTTAAAAAATTCTGTTTATAAATATAAAAACGTATAATTTTCCTAATATTTTAAAAAAATATTTACATTAATTTAATTATTAATTTGATTAATAAGCTGTTTTAAAGGCTTTTTTGCTTATAAAATTTAATAGAAATATGAACTTTAATTATAAGAAATACTAAAAATTTGTATATTATCATGTACAGTAAAACTCTTGGTAAACTTGGTATGTATTATATAATACATGCCAAAGGATAGTTTGGTTCGATACATCTCTTGATAGAACATTATCTATTTTTGTTCTTTCTGTGAATCTTTATTGATATAAATTATATGTCAATAAAGATTTGTATTTGTATATACAGGATGCATTTTAACAATTTTATTATGCAAGTTTGCCATTTATTTGCTCCATTCTTCCATGGATGTGTTTTGGTTGATATTCTGATCAGCCTGGCATTGTGCTTTTTTATATAAAAATATGCCATCAGATAATGAGGTAATATATAACTTACCTGATATAATTTGATATAAGTTAATTTAACATTAAATTACAAGCATGTATGAAACACCAACATTTTTGGCTATTTCTAATTATCATTAGTAGCTTTACATATTAAAACTAACCCAAAGATGTTAGAATTACTGTGTTTTGCGATTTAATGTTACTATACTTTACTTGATTGACTGATTATATATTTTGTATATCAAAAAAGCAATCAGTAGGAGAATTTTTTTTTAAGCTAAAAATGCTTTCTACATTAAATTTTATGTATTAAAAAATACAATTGCAAATGTAATCATATTTTAAATTATGTTTTGATTATTTTTATAGATAAATATACTATATTTTACATATTTTGTTAGCTAAATTGTTCAAAATAATTAATAATGCAGTTACTGACAGTTGTAAAATTTATTATTTTTTTATTTTTTAACTAACATTTATATTTAAAAAATTACACTTATGTCAAATTGGAAATAAATGCATTAAAGCTATAGTTTAAATGATTTACATGTGATGCAGCTGTTTAATGCTGCTTTTAATAGGTAGCCTAGCATATGTTCAAATTACTAATACATTTGTACAGCACATACAGTAAATTTATATAGAATATATTCTCTTAATAGTGAAAGAAAATAATAAAATTTTATTTCCATTATTGATATAGTGATTAGAAGTAAAAAACTGTCTTTCTGATTTTAAGTAGAACTTAACACCAAAAAGACAATGTCTTTTAGTTTTATTGATTTATTTTGGTCTGTGTCTTAGTGTATTGAATTGATATAGTGACATTAAATCATATACAGTAATTTTTTAAATTAATAGCCAAGATTATCACTAAACATTTTTTGAAAATTTAGCTTTTATTATTAATTATAACTAGTAAATTAACAAATTTAGAAATATGCAGCATTATTGTTAATTCTTACATTTATAACTTAAGCAGTTAATTTCTTTTTAATTGATGATAAAAATAATTACCATTGCTAAGCAAAAATTACCACTTTTAATAAATATATGTATTGGAAATTTGTTTACTGAATTATTAAAGTCAAAATTAACTCTTTAAGTTATAAGACACCAATATTTTGATATTATTTTAAATAAAATATTAAATGATTTATGAAAACTTTATTGTTGTAGATCTGCAAGCTAATTGATTGAGACAAAATCTAAGAAAATTGGTGTTATTGGTGTATTAGTAAATTTGATAAATTCACTTTCTGTTTTAATGATAACACCAATTTGAATTTGATAAATTCACTTTCTGTTTAAGAACATATTGATAAGAATTGTATTGTAAATATTAATAGATTTACTATGAAAATTATCTAATTTGTTTTCTTAATTTTCATTACTAAATATAACCTATTGCTATTTGAAAATATTTATAATCAGATAAGATATAAAGACATCAGTTTCCAAATTGTAATATTGCATTGTCTAATTCTCTAAATAACTACATTACTATTAATTTTGCTAAATTTAATGAGTTTGTCATATTTTTAAATAATTAATTTTTGAACAATAAATATTCTTAATGCATGTAGTTTGTCTCTCTANGATTTTTGAAAAACGTTTTAATTATTCTATATTTATATTAATGTAAGAAACTTATATCTTGTAGAAAGTTTAAGAAATTTACTAAATATAAACAACTTAAACTATTTTTTTACTAAGAATATATTTTAATACTATTCAACCTATACTGTACCCAAGGCTTTTGGAAGCTTTTATGGGACCCCTTTTATTCCTTAGTATTCCTTTTATTCCTTATTATTTCCCTTTTATTCCTTTTTATCATTTTTTTAAACAAATGAAGTGTGTAGAATGTTTCTTTATTGATAAATAACAGTCTTAAAGATTTTGTTTTGTTAGTAAAAATAAAATTAATTTATAGGAACCACTGTGGGCTCCTAAGCTTTCTTCCGGGGGTGTCAAGAGGGAGAGAGCTGGGAAATTTTCTCTAGCTCTTTCCCTTTTGATACCCCTTCCAGCATTGCAATATTTTATCTGTTAATCTGTTTATAATTAATTCACATTATCTTTATTCATTATCTTTTATAATTCTCTTATTTTGCTTTCTATGTATTCGTTTAAATCCTTTTTTATTTTAATTTTTATTATATTTTACATTTTACTAAGTTATTTCATAATTATATTTATTAATAAGTAACATAAAAGATTTTGAAAAGTCATCTATCCATAAAGAAATTGTAAATCTCTTAAAATAATGTATTTTTAAGGCAAAACATATAAATAGTTAAATACATCTTATTTTATAGTTGTACGTTTGGTAAATGAAATATTACTGAATGGAAGATTTATATATTTATGGTTTAAAAAGAAATTGTCCATAAATTCAAATTTATCAAAATTAAGATTTTGATTAAGATTATCTACAATATTAATATAAAGAAAAGTATCATAATAAATATTATGGAATTTCTATTTTAAAATATCTACAAAAAGAAATTTAAAACTAATAAATACTTAAATTAATATCAAACTGTTAGATTGTCTCTTTCTAATTCAAACACTTTTAACTGAATTTAGGAAGAATTTCAACTGTTAATAAAAATTTAGTTATAATAATTATATACAAAGCATAAACAGTTTATTTATTATCAAAATATAATTAACAGATAGTTTAGTAGCTTAATTAAGTGTTAGTAATTTTTAAAATCAATTCTGTTTATCTAAAAACTTGTTCAGAAAATCAGATTTATTAATGTTGTTAGTGATATACTTAGCTTTCAATACTTAATGAAAGTAAAAATTTGTAATTGTTAATCTAATATAAAGTAGATTATCTACTGATTTATTATAACTTTTTAAACAGACTATCATTTACATTCAGAATTGAATACTAAAAATTAATGAATTAAATAATTTATTATGTAAAATTCAATCATAATGAATAAATTTTATTATGAAAAGTTGTTTAACTGTATTTAATTCATTTTGAAAATATAAATGCTTTGAAACAGTTTAATTAGAGTTTTAATTTAAAGAGTTCATTATATAAACTTTAACAAATTGTCAAAATGCAAATTTAACAATATATTAAATTTAATTCAAATAATTGAATTTTGTAATTTTTGTTAATTATTTCATTTTTTACTCTTAATGTTCCTACAAATAATTTAATTCAAAGTTTTACATAAATAAAAAAGTAATATTAATTGACTGTCATTAAGTTAAATACAACTGTTCTGAAAAGTTTATTACCATGTATTTACAATACTAAAATTATTGTAACTAAATTTAACAAGCTTAATAAAATATAATTATTTTACTAATAATACTTCAAATTATTAATATGTTTATTATTCATACTAATAAATTTACTAGTTTTATCTCACAAATTGGATGTTAATTAAACAATACATTTATTGATTAAGTAAATGTCTCTTCAATCCGAAAAAATTTTTTGGTAGACTACCTCACAGCCAATTCAGGTTATAAAACTCTCTGAAATCTTCTGAAACCGTGTTGTCTTAATTTCTTTGATTCACTAACACAAGATGTGTTTCTATTTCAACACTTGGCGGTATTCCATCTTTATTTAGTTGATACGGTTACAAGTACGATAACACGTTTCGGGCACTGCCCTCCTCAGTCAACATAAACACTTTTTCAACACAGAAAGCATATACATTCATAGAACTGGCGTAATATTATATATCCGGTTTTGGTCTTGGGGCGTTCATTAAAATTTCGGTTGTTCTTTTTACAATGGTGTTATTAAAATCTTTGTGTATAAGTAAAACAGGTTTACCAGCGTAAATTTTACTCGCTCCTGGGAAATCTTAAAAGATATTACAATGGTTCAAAGGTTAAAATTTCTTTAAATGGGTTCTAGTATTTCCAGCACACAAATTAAAAGATTACAGGTTACTAGACACAAAGTGTTGAAATAGAAACACACCTTGTGTTAGTAAATCAAAGAAATTAAGACAACACGCTTTCAGAAGATTTAATAAGGTAGAAAACAATAAAATTTTAATTCCACAATACAGTATCGAACCAATTCAATTAAGCCATAAATGCTGTGGTGTAATGCAGAATATGTTTTTCTTGTCAACGTGCTAGTTTTCAGACCAAGAATCTCCATTTTTCTAACCAATCAAGTAGTTTGTTAAGGTACACATATTTAAAGTCATTGTTTCCAACTACGATGCGCATTTTGTAACTTTTAATTTAAAAACGCCTGATCACAACTAGCCGTAAGCCGCAGTAAAAATTTTTGAACATTTTCTGCCGATAAAAATTTTTTCTCAAGTCAATTATAGGTTCGGTTAGGCTCTGAATGAGAGTGGCATATTCGAAACAGACCACCCATTAGAAAATTTCTGAGGTTCGTTGACCGTGTAGATTCGATCTGCAGTCCCTGAGAACAATAGGCTGTCTTCTTAACAGCCTTAGCCGGTTTAATATCATAATTTACTTGAAAAATTATAGAAAATATAATTAACACCAATAAAATTCATTTAATACTAAGTAAATAATTTAATTAAACATTTGTACAGTACGTTTATTGATATAAATTTTTCTAAACAGAATAATTTATAACTTCTATGTATGGATTATTATTGTTCGTTATTTGCCTCGCATCGACAACAATTTTAGAAAACTTGTAATCGATACGAAAGAAGCTTTAAATATGTATGAGGAATTTTTTGAATCGGATTTGGATATGCGTAAACTGAAATGGAAATCTTGCATTCAAGATATGGATCTCTATACAAAATTAGGAGCAAATTTCGTAATGATAAAATCCATAACTCGAAAAGACAACCTTAATGAGGTAGATTAGTATTTTTATCTATACAATTTTATAGTACAGTAGATTCCCGGAAACTCGACTCTCCACTCGACATTCCATAACACTCGTAGTGTCGTTCAAAAGAAAAAAATGTGTGTAATCTAATCTTTATTTCTATAACTTAACACTCGGATCAATTAAGTTATCGTTCTTCACTAGCAANTTAACTGCAATTTTCCTAATCATAGTTTTGAAATAATACAATCTCTGAAAATAATTGAATTAATAAAAATTGTATACAAAAAAATTTTAAATATCAACTTCTAGAAACTTGATGTATTGATACTAAGCCAAACAATTACCATAATTAATCATAATTAACCTTTAGTACTAAATTACTTAGTTTCTAATTATTAATTATAGCATATTAATAGCCCAATTAATTACAGCAATCTTTTGGCTTAGTAAATAAATTTATATTATTATTTAATGCTGTGTTTTGATTACTGATCATGTATATTGTATTTTAAAAAACAAAAAATAATGTTCTCTTAATTACAAATAATTTTTAAAAATTATATAAAATGTCATGAAAGACAAAAATAAAATTCCTTCAGCTGATGGTTGCTAGGTATTTTGAAGGTGAGGAATTATCCAAAATGCAGCTCAAGAAAATCAAATATCTGCTTCAACAAGATGACAAACTGCATGGTCTTAAGGAATATATTTGAAATGAAGATCACAACTATGCAGATGAAGGAGCTAAAATTGAAAAGCCAATACTAATAGTCATTGCCATAAAAAAAGAGAAAGCAGATTGTATATTGAAATTATTGATCATTATATAAATGTTGTTCCAGTCACTGAACATAATTTGAATTTTAAATGAATTATTGAAAGTATTGTTGACACCCCTATAAAAAAAAAAAGGCAAAAAAATTTGACAAGAAAATTAATATTAAATTCTTAGCTTTTTTAAAAGTTGTGATGTTTCTCAATCAATTTGTTTTAGGATTTTTTAATTTCTTATGGTTTACAAAATATTTCATTATTTGATTAAGTAAATGTCTCTTCAATCCGAAAAAATTTTTTGGTAGACTACCTCACAGCCAATTCAGGTTATAAAACTCTCTGAAATCTTCTGAAACCGTGTTGTCTTAATTTCTTTGATTCACTAACACAAGATGTGTTTCTATTTCAACACTTGGTGGTATTCCATCTTTATTTAGTTGATACGGTTACAAGTACGATAACATGTTTTAGTCACTGCCCCTCCTCAGTCAATTAAATATCAAAAAATTATACATAAATTCAGTTTATTATACTCGCTGAAATCTTCTGAAACCGTGTTGTCTTAATTTCTTTGATTCACTAACACAAGATGTGTTTCTATTTCAACACTTGGCGGTATTCCATCTTTATTTAGTTGATACGGTTACAAGTACGATAACATGTTTTAGTCACTGCCCCTCCTCAGTCAATTAAATTTCAAAAAATTATACATAAATTCATTTTCTTATAATAGCTTAACATAGAAAATTATTTTAATATTAAATCAATAATTCTTTTTGCGTGATGTACCATAAGCATTTTTTAAAACTCCTTTATTTTTTATTATTTTTTTTACAGATGCTTTTTGAGCTAGATTAACTTTCTAGCTCCTCTTCAATGCTACAAAATAAATTTCAATTATTAAATTGACAAAAAACAATGTGATTAGATAATGCTTACAAAACAATAAAAACACATTTCATAATACCCTAAGGGTCTCCATAGGTTTCAATGGCTTATTTTTCACACTTGCACCTGAATTGGCTGTGAGGTAGTCTACCGAAGAATTTTTTCGGATTGAAGAAATGTTTACTTAATCAACAGACAAAACAGCTATCATTAGAAAATTCAGAAAACATTTATTCTTTACATTTATTAAAATTAATTGTATTATATGATCTTTGACATATATACAAAATTTCTCATAAGTCTGAAACTATGTGAATAATGTTGATCTTTGTTTATTCTTTTACAAATAAACTGTGGCACTGAGTAAGGGGAATAAATTATGGTAGGGGATCAGTCAGTGTGAAGTTGCTGAAGAGTTTAACAGATTGGCATGCAGATCACTGTGTGTGATTGGTAGGAAGTCTGGATGTAGCCTGTTAAAATCTTCAGCAACTTCCCACTGTGACTGCAGGTTCCCACCATAATTCACCATTTTGATGATGCTAATAACTTGTATTTGTTCCTCCTTACTTAGGACTGTGTTAATTTATATGTCTCTAAATGCAAAGATTCAGAATTAAACATAATTAACAATTTTTTAATGCTGTTTTCTTACATATTTTATATTTTTAAAATAAAATTCACCATTTTGTTGTTTTAATATTTATTTATTTTATACTCTTCGATGTCTCTTAATTAATTCCTTGGTGACATGAGAAGCTCATCTGACATGAGTGTCTCATCATCCGTATTGTAGTATATACAGTACAGTGCCATCAGGCATCTGACTGGCCATTCTTGTCATTAGATTCAATAGGATTGCACTGCATATATCGACAAATTAAAGCATATTTAATGATTGTATTATTATTTATATGATTTTTTAATGATTTTCTAGCCTTAGGTTAAGTTTTACCATTTTTATGGTTTTCATTATCTTGTCAGAAATTATATCATGGTTTTAGTTTGTTCTGTTACCAAAAAATTGGTCTACACTGTTTATAAAGCTATAAATAATTGTAGTACAGGAGTCACCAAATGAATTCCAAGCCAGATCCAGCCCACAACTTCAGTTCATCCAGACCATCTCTGCATCATGCCACAAATGAGCTAAAATATAATTATTTATATAGAAATATCATAGACTGTAGATAAACTTACTATGTAGAAAAAATTAAAATAAGTGTAAGTAAAAATTGGACTTTGAACTCAAAATTGAGTTTTAAATAAATACTTGGCTTTATTTCCATCTCCATTTAGTTGAATGGAGATGGAAATACAGCCAAGTGTTTATTTAAAACTCAATTTTGAGTTCGAAGTCCAATAAATTCATCAAACACTGTTTCAAAGGTAACGTGTAAGTAAATATGCCAAAATTGGTCCAATCTGATTTTTGTATTTGACAGTAATATAATTTTTAAGAAAATCAGTGAAATGAAATGTTTGGTGAATTTTTGAATATTTTATGAATCTCAACATTGAAAAAAAAATGACTTAAAAAAGTTCTGCAAGTATTTCCTAACTGATAGTTTATTTGTCTAGTGATGTATGAATGTACTGTACCAATGCAGATTTGAATGTGAGGTGTAATTGTTCTAGTCTTGGATGGAGTTCTTTTATGACATCCTATTCATGTACTTGAGCAAGGATCACCAAACTTTTTTAACAGTAGGCCAGATAACTGAGAGAATGACAAGTGCAGGCCACATATTTATTTTGCTCAATATTGTATACTGAATACACAAAGAAATAAAGAAAACTAACATATTTATTTACCAATACACAAACATGATGGCTGCAGAAGCTCATATCGCTTTTCTTAGAAACTTCTTTGCAGGTACTTACACAAAACACACTCTGATATCCAAAGTCTTTTATGACTTTGGATATCAGAGTGTGTTTTGTATACCAAAGTCATAAAAGACTTTGGATATTTTTTAGTCATTTTTTTTTCAATGTTGAGATTCATAAAATATTGTATATGTAATTAATAAGTAGGCTTATAAAAGCAAATTTGTATGCTACTATTATCATTGGTGTTGAAAAAAGACTACATAGACGATGCCTCAACCTCCTCTATCTTCATAATTTACAATGGTGTACTGTTTGTAATCCCCCTTCCTTAAACTGTATACATAATTAATGGACAGTGCAACTAAATAATTTAAATGGTGAAAAAATGATCTAAAAAGTAAGTTAATATCTGTTTAAGTGCAAAATTTGTTATTAAAGTTCTGAATATGATGTATAATAATAATACAGACTATTTTGCTTTAGTGCATGAATGTCTGTTTATACAGATCATACATTCTCAATAAAATATTTATTACCTTTTCATTTTGCTTATTTTATAATGTTATAAAATAAAGTGTGAACACTAAACAACACTAAATAACATAATATGATTCCTTAAATAAATGAAAAAAAATTAATTTTCTTGAGCTTCTTAAAAATACAATTTTAAGTACTTTTGAGAAGTTTTTATGTGGAATGTAACAGTTCTTTTGGTAGTTTTCAAACTTAACTTTGAAAGATCTGTTCAAATTTTACTTTTTGACAGAATTTGATGATAATTCCAACTGTCTAATTCTCTATATTGCTGCATAGCAATAATGCTAGGAATGAAGATCAAACAAATGCTTCTTGGAAATAATAAATTGAAAGTTTCATTTTTGATTGGTACAAAATGATGAGAATTTCTTTATATGAAAACCTGTAAGTAGAAGGAAATTGAAATAATCAAATGTCTCTTGAAACTTTTTGCTTTTTCTAGTTAGATAAAGCAATACAATAAACTCTTATGATAAAATGTGCAAAATCATCATCTTTCTAATTCTCATGTGATTCACCTTTATCAGATATAATATTTCTTATTAAGGTAATGGCTGTTTCTTAATGAACTTTAGTTACCAAAGTAATCAGACATTCAAATTTAATGTATTTTTAGACATTGAAATCTGAAATATTTTTTAATATCATTCATTTAAAAATATATTGTGNGATGTCACTTGAAAGTTTAGATGGCTCTACAAATAGAATAGAAGTTTAGATAATGAACTTAAAGGACTTAATGACTGAAAGCATAGTTGAAATAGCCCAGAAAATCCGACAAGGATAAAAAAAAGTTGTCGATAATTAAAACGCGATTGGAATTTCTTGGAAGAAAAGAATCGAATCTCTCCTTCCTAAATTCTGTCTTCGCTTAATAAAAAATCAATTGAAGTTGTATCAATTAAATGTTTTTCTCCAAATCCAGTTATTACACGAATTGCCTTGTATTTCATCTTAAAGTGTGAATGATATCAGATAATAATTTCCAATTTTACAATTA